CGCTGGTTCACACCGATTTCCACCGTTTTACGGAAATTGGTCACATTTTTCATATTAAATGTATATTTTCAATAACAACAACGCTTTCCAAGTTCTGGCCAATATCCCGTCTGAATGACTCGGAAACCCAGAAAAGGGGACTTCAAGGAGTAAAAATTCAAAAAATTTCTTGGGGGAGCCCACCGCGGACCCCGCTAAAAGCTTGCGCCTTCGACACTCGTTTAGGACTAATCGGTCAGTATTTTATTCCAGATTCGCGCCTGTATAACTTCAGAAAATCTTGGGGAATTTATTAGACAAGCCTCGATTGATAACTGTACATGAATGCAACGGTCATCTAGAAAAATTTTAGCCTTCCTCAAGCTATAGAAAATTCTAGGCAATTTGTGATTCTCCGAAAGGATATTTTCAGAGAAAACATATCTGGAAACAAGAGAGAAAATTTCTCTCTTGCTGGGAATGATTATCGGGACCGTCAACTACGCAATGCAAGGCCACGCGATAATCCTTGCTCAATAAATATTACGGGATTGCAGTTCCACTGAGTTCACTGTCGAATACACGATTATCAGTGCTTTCATCCTTGTTCGGATCAAGTTCATTGCATAAAATCCTAAGATATTCAGCTCTCATTTTCGGATTTTTGGGCGTAAGACAGTTCTTCATATTTACGGTTAGAAAACGTACCAGAATGTTTGTACTGTAGATGAAAAGTTTGAAAAGTAAAGTGTTCTTCATTCAATCTAAAAAAATAGGTCAATTCATAAAAATAGAAAGTGACTAAGTTGGGATCGCGAAAAATACATATTTGGGTCTCTAATTGGCCGTTTTTCAGTGTCTTTAATTTCGGACCAGCTACAATAGATACGTGACATTTTCTTCATTTTCTATTTCTTGTAAACACGGTAAAATTTCCTGGAGCGACTGATATCGAATTAAAATATATTTATCCATTCAGTGCCGTTGAACCTGATATTTTCGTTTTCAGTAGATGAGAGTTTTTCACAAACGGCCCCTGAAATTGAGACACATCGGATTTCTAAGGTAACAATCAAGAATCAGCATGACTTTTACGCCATCCGCTCCTATTAAAGAGCAGCATACAAGCCTGTAATGCTCAGCTGCGATGTTTACGGACGCATTAACAACAAAATTATAAAAATTTCCTGCTCAGACACGCAGGAACAATGCTCTGTACACATTTTCCTTATGGGAAGTTATTTGATCTTTGCTTTGGAGAATACGATCAATATAACGGATTCACCGGAAATCGGAGAAAATCGATAAAGTAACTTGCTCTGTCAAATCGATATTATCGATTTTTCATGATTTTAACGATTGAAAACGGAAGTCCGCCATTGTTGTTTATTTTTAGCATGAGTTTATTGTACAGCTGAGAAAACACATCCACGAGTGATCAGCAGACAAAATGAGAAATGGGGTAACTATAACACACGCAACGTTTCCTCTAAAACCCTTTATTTTGTACATAACAACAGAAACGGTTCAGTTACATTCAATTCTCACAGGCAAGTATAACGAGAAATACAACCCAGGGGCACCCAACGTCAATTTTCAGAAAATATCTGTTCGGAAGACGATTTGAGATCTAGAATTTTCGGAACATTTGTTGTAAAATTTCCTGCCTGCCTGCTCCTCCTAGGATTTTCGAACATCTAAAAAATGGTATAATTGCCCATTTTTAATGGATTTTTACCCTAAAAAGGTCACCTAGAATTTTCGGGAGCCTTTTTTCTAGCTGAAATTTTCGAAAAGGTAAGTTTCGATGCCTATAATTTTTGGATCACTAGACTTTCAGCTAGGAAATCCGAACAGATGAAAAATTTTTAGGGGATAAAAATATGCCTATATCTAACGTTTAAGTACTAAAATATGTTCAACAATGCCATGTTTAAGTGGTTTTGAACTATATCCTCGTTGGGTGCCCCTGACAACCGTAGATAAAGATTCCCTAGCCTAGATTTAAGACATTTCTTCAAATCGGGATTCAGGCTAATCCCTCGTTAAATTTCAACGTTTTCCGTTATCAATCGATAAAAATCACTTGATTGCTAATGATTTTTACCGATTTCGTTTCTTATCTATTGACTACTCCGGGATGCAACTACACTCCGAACTACACGAACGTTATTTTGAAAGGGTGGGAGATCTAAATCCTGAAAAGCTGAGCGCCTACCTGGCCAATATCAGCCATCACTGAGAAGAAGATTTTAAAAATATTTTTTAAAGATTTATTTAAAAGTGATAAATGTTTGATCCTTTGAATCTCAATTGCAACTCAATTGTCAGTAAATTTGCTGTTTTATGAATTCAGTTTTCATTTTCTGATCAACAGATGTATCAGTTCCGATATAAATTGATGAAATCGGTGAAAATAAAAAAAATCGATAAACGAAACGAATGTGTCATCGATTTTTACAAATTGTTCGATCAGATTTACCGATTTTTACCGATTGACCACTCCGGGATTTAAGACCCTAAAGAAGGAAGGCCATGCCTTCCGAAATATTGGTAAAAGAAATAAATATTTTCGACTCTAAAATCAGCCTTGCTTCTTCTGTTTCTATATTTCCAATTATACTTTACATGTTAGGATCCAGTCCTTCTCTTTTGTAAGTTGGTCCTTTCTTTCAAAATTGAATTTCCTAAATTTATTGACGTTTCGTTTCCATTCTAAAATCTTTATTAAACTAGAAATACGTGTATCGCAGAACCTCTCGAGGTAGTCGGGTGGGAGGCCTGTAAAATGTCAGGGATGGGAGGATGAGAGAAACAGAGTCAAGCAGGTTTCAATAAGCCATTTCCGAGCTCCCCAGTAGCTCTGTTTCAAAACGAGGCTAAGTGCTCAGCCTTTGATATGGAAATGATTTTTCATTCTCATGCAAATAAAACTCATTTTCTCAAGCAGGGCTGTGCACTTAGCCTCAATTTGAAAGTGAGGGCTTTTGGAACTCGGAACTATGGCCTATTGGGAGCTGAGACTGTACTCAGGGTGCGTCAACCTCGTTCCCAGGTTCTCTCTCCTGTCCGATAGGATATTTGCCTGCGTGCAGACGTCTCCTATTTCCTTTGTTGCACGCGGAAAAGGGACGTCTGCGTAACGCCGTCGCTAATCGTGTTCCAGCGTCCTGCTGGGTTCCTAAGATCTTGGGAACACGCTGTGATAGGCTGACACACAGTGCGCATTGTTTGACTTAACGCTGATTGGTTGTTATCGAATGTGGTCTGATAATGTATGCGGTGATTTAAATGATTTATGTAAGCGGGGTTTTCTAACCAAAACAAATCAAAACATGTGCGATTGTGTGCTGTGTTTTTCGTCGATCGAAAAGCAGAGCGATCGAAATCTTGTGCGGGGACGCGGAAAATTTAACGTGTACGAGGAAATTTAGCCGTAACAAACAGAGGTCAAGAAAATTTAAACCCTTTACAACTGCATCTGAAATCAAATCCTATCGGGAACACCCACAGAAGCATAAACCACAGGAAATGATTACTCAGTATGCATGTAACAAACCTGCTTCATGACCTCTAAATGGAAGACTTAGCGCGGCAAAAATGAGATTTACTCAGTCAAAGGTTAGAATGCTACATGCACTGTGTAGTGCTAGTAATCTTCGCGCGAGAGAGAAGAGAAGAAAAACCTCTGTTCAAGCCAACTCTCAAGGTCACGTTTCGCCCGTATCACGAGCTTATGATGTTTTGTTTGACCTGTCAACTCTTATTTCTAACCGGATATTATTTCACAATTTATGCGAAATAGAATACCCTGCCAGCGGGACGCTGGAACACGATTAGCGACGGCGTTACGCAGACGTCCCTTTTCCGCGTGCAACAAAGGAAATAGGAGACGTCTGCACGCAGACAAATAGGATATTTGTTTCTCGATTTCCTTTCTACCGTTCGATTGAGAAATCCGAAAAAGGATTTGAAAAACTGTCAGCTTACGAGAAACGGTCTTGAACACACACGCATAATTAGCAAAAAGAAGACCGCTATACACGAGAATAGTTTAGTAAATCCTTTTTCGGATTTTCCCAATCGAACAGTAAAAAGCAAGAGCCAGGAAATTCATGAAATCCGGATTTGAATTTCTTGATTGAAATCCACCCTATGGACGGATTTCAACCTCGTCCCCAGGGAGCTTTTCCCTTGGGATTCCGGATTTCAAAATCTAAATTCGGATTGCCTAATCGAACGCAACCTGAGATGCACTCAATCTCCAAAAACGAGAAGTCCAAAGACTACTGCAAAGCTGATTCCAGTAACAACGTGTATTGTTTTTTTTTTATAACAAGATTTCGGCCGGCCATACCAGCCTTCTCCAGATTTACAGATGTTACTGAACTTATGTAGCAATCACAATATTATAGAGACGGAGAATGTCGCAATAAAAATTGTTTTTAAACAAATTGTTTTAAAAAAGGGAGAGCCGAAAATGACGTCGAAAAAACATCAATGCGTAGTCTCCATGAAATAACATCGATGCCCATGATGATTTGGTGGAAGAAGGAAAATCGGATTTGTTGAAGACCTACGGCTTAAAATGTCTCAATAATCAAGGATTAAATTAACTGCAAAAACCGTGGACGAAGATCCTGCTAGTTGTAAACGTTGGATCTCGGCACTGGTGTTTTTTCGGCGTCATTTTCGCCTCTCCCTTTTAAACAAGTTTTATTGCGACATTCTCCATCTCTATAATATTCAGCTGAATATTGTGATTGCTACACGTTTTTTTTTTTTGCAGTTAACTCAATCTCAATTGGAACCCAGTGCCCATCTGAACGTTTCCGCAAGAAAGCTGGGACGATTTTGACCCAGGTTCTCACGACTAATACGCATGCGGTGAACTGGTCAATCTCCGTTTTGATTGGTTAATAGAATAACAAACTAAAAAAACCGTACTCTTTACCAAAATTGACTCCAAACGAACTTTTCCTTTCCGTTTAGTGAACAGTTTTTCAGTCCTTTTTCGTACCTTTTGATCCTAGAAAATATTGTATCCGATGGCCTCGGTAAGTGTATTGCACTCAGGTTTTCGCCAAGCTGCAATTACATCCTTTGATCGTTGTCATTTTTGTGGTTTTCAGACAAGTTCGAACGTCGAAAATCTTCATCCCCAAATCATCAAGCAAGTTTCCAAAGAACTAACCAGTTTAACAAACGATCCTCCAGAAGGGATTAAGGTTTTTGTCAACGAACAGGATATAACAGACATTCAAGCAACGATAGAAGGACCTGGTATGGTTTTTTCGTGACGTTTTTGCTTTTGAAATCTACGTATTTTCTCTCTTAACAGAGGTGGAATGGTCATGGTGTATAAACTTACCCTGCGAAGGCGGCTATGCATTTACACCAGTAAAGATTTGTATTCTCTTGATTGATCGCCACCCACATGTAAAATGTAAAAAGTCAGCTTGTTTGTTTTCCGTGTCTCTTTTTTAGCCGGTACACCGTATGAAGGAGGACTTTTTCGTGTGAAACTCGTTTTGGGAAAAGATTATCCAACTGCTCCTCCAAAAGGTGAACTTAAGTTTATACTTATAAAGATCAATAAATGCTTTTGAGCTTAGTAAATTTACGTTTTGAAGTAGATCTGTTTTGCAACTCAGTTTAACATAGCGTGCACTGCGTGTAACAGTTACATGTACATTCAGTCACATTTTGTATTGGTTGTATTTTGTTGGTTGTCAGATCATGAATCAGCATTCAAGTCTTTCATTTAAGAATATCCCGTACATTTCATTTTATTAACCACAGTTTCTACTATTAAGCATTAAGTATATGAGCTTACATGCACAATAATAATATTTTACTGCGTTGTTGGAAGAAAAATTCACTTAGCATGTGTAGTAAATAATTCTTTAGTTAATCATAGTTTGTTTTGTAGAACCAGTTTTTGGCCTTAACAATCTCTAAAAATTTAAGACTTCTGTTGGCTCTGCTACATTATTGTGTGAAAACTCTCCTTTTTCAGGTTTTTTCTTGACTAAAATATTCCACCCAAATGTGGCCAGTAATGGAGAAATCTGTGTTAATACACTCAAAAAAGACTGGAAACAAGATCTTGGAGTGAAACATATTTTACTGGTAAGTCTATTATAATACTATGTTGTTGTTATATTGGCGTTCTGAGAACTGCAGGACCTTTTTTGTTTGCGTATCATGCAGGCTTATTTATGAGGGCTCAAACAGTCAGCTAGTTTGACTGCCAGTGCCTAAAAAATTTTCTTTGGCAAGCAAAAAATGGTCTTTCTTGCCAGCTTGACCAGCTAGTCACTATGTTATGTCTATTAGTAATAACACTTAGTGAGGCAACCAAAAACTAGTAACAGTCTTATTATGTCCCATACCTGCAAAAAAAGTATCATTAAAGAAACCAGACACACTATTTATCAAAGATAGCAGTGGGAAGAACAATGAGACTAGCCAGGTATCCCCGTGGATGGGCAGGGCAGAATGACATTGGCAGACAAAAGGTTCACAGAGGCCTGTCGACCTACTAAGTCCCATCTATGCCTGGAGATATTGAACTTTGGAAACTGGAATGTGTATACAATGTTTGCAAAAAAAAAAAATTGGCAAGGCAGTGCAAGTTACCAAGGAGATGTGCGAATACAGCATCGACATACTAGGAATACATGAGTGTAGATGGACTGGTTCTTGGGTTTGAAAAAAGTCCCATCTGTTAGTCCGGGACAAGTAGATTTTCTTGCTGCGTAAGTAATGTTTAACCCTTTAAACCCTAAGACTTAAGAGTGATCAGTACCAAATTTCTCCTTGTAATATCAATGCTTTATAATTATAATACAATGCTTTAGGAGGGTGAACCAAGTAGGGGACTACGTGTCCTATTGTTCTCTCCCCTGTACATTGTACGAATCTATAAATAAATAAATAAATAAATAAAACAGAGTGGTCAAGAGAATTATGGACATGATCACACATGATGAATATGCTTGATATTTTATCAACTTCTCCCCACTACTTCTTAGGGTTTATATAAGGGTTAAAGCTTACTTGGCTGATGGGCAAGGGTCCAGGTAAGTTATCCTCTAACAAAATCATTTATTAAGACATGCCAGAAGTGGCTCCGAACACACAAAATGTGAGACCACCTTGAATTCAATATTTTTCAAGCCCTGGAGAAATGGTTATGTTGTCAGGCAGAGATCCATGGTAGTGGAGATATACAATGATGTCCAAACTAGCAAAGTCATGCTGGAATAGTTGCCATTTGATGAGCACATTAAAAAAGCATGTTTCTATTCCAAATACATGAAGCCAACCTTTATTGAAGTCTTGAGTGCCAACAATGGAAGCTGAGGAAAACGAGATCGATCATTTCTATGAGCAGCTCCAAATGTCTTGGAAGCTGTTAGAAAGCATGATATGCTCATCTTATGTGGTAATATGAATCCTGCAGTTGGGGCTTCAAACCTTAACAGAGTAGGGATAATGGGAGCTCATGAAACAGGCAATATCAGCGATAATGACGGGAAGCTCGTTGAGTTTTGCGAGATGAACAGCTTTGTCATCACTGTTACCATATTCCCTCACAAGGAGATGCTCAAGACCAAAAAAAAAAATGATGGACATCCCCCTATGACAGATATCACTATCAGATTGATCATTTTCTCATTGACAAGTTCTCCAGGAAGTCTGTCTCATTCTGTGATACCAGGGTTGTTTGGGGTGTATATGGATGCCTATGATCAGCATCCTGTGTGAAACACTATAAATCTCAAGTTAAAGAGGACAAACCCGCCACCCAACTCCAGAACCAGAAGCGAGGAAAGTAAGCTGCAAATCCAAGCAGTCAGGAATGTTTGTTCTGTCATGCTAGGAAATGAATTTGCAGTCCCTAAGGTGACAGATGAAAATGCAAGCTATTAATGCACAAGGGAATCATTTCAGCTAGGCATTCAGCAGCACCGCTGAAAAAGTCCTTGGTAGGAAGAAGAGGAACTCCAAACCGTGGATAATTCCCGGTCGATCTTGGTCAACTGTCAAGGAAAGGAAAAAAAAATGAAGAGCAAGATAGCTATATAATGCAAGATCAATGAGAATGCATCAACAACTGAGCCAGAGGGTGTAGTACAAAGCAAAGATAAGGATGTGAAATCTAGGTTAAGGACTAATTAGAGGGTTTAGTTGGAAAATCAGGGACAAATTGCAGCTGAGAACAGAAACATGAACAGGGTTGCCACGGTCAGGGAAAAGTCAGAGAAAACTGAAAATTTTTTAAGGTCAGGTAAAATCTTTGGTATTGTCAAAGTCAGTGAAAAGTCAGGGAATTCTGTTTTCCGGTTTACAGTTCATAAGTTTTCTTTCACTTTGAAATACTTTTTCTTTCGGAAAAAACAAAAAGTATGCTGCAAAGCAAGCAAAGTGATAAAATTTATAGACACTCTATGTCTTACACAAGTAGTAGTTGTGGTAAGTGGTTTTTGTTGTGAATGCTTTCTTCCAAAGAGAAAACTATCGATGGCCTGCAAAAAAAGCTAAGGAGAATGTAAACATAGAGAAGGTCAGTGAAAACTGTTTAAAGGTCAGTGAAAATTCAGGGAATTTTTAACTTTCTGATGAGTGGCCAACCCTGATGAAGACCTTAATGACATATAACATCACTAAGCCACTGTAGTAGCACAATCAAGGACAAAAACAGAAATACTATATAGTGGAGGAAGGCAAGCCACTAGAACAGTGGAAGTGCTGAACAGTGTTCCACCAAAGAACCCCACCTTGATCGACTTCTACCAAATGCAGGAAATCAATCTAGTATCAGCGTAGAACCCATCAGTCTGAAGGAATTCCAGGGAGCAATGCTGCAAATCGGATAATGACGTTAATACAGTGGCCCAGCTTTGAAAGGTGGATCTGGATATGTCATTACACAAGTTACAGTGTAGACAGCATCATCAAGTAAAAAGATAAAGGAAAAGCAACCACATTTTACGTAGACAATTTGTGACAGTGTAATAACTGATAAACTTCTCCATCAATGCTCTGTTTTAAGGGTATTTAAAGCTAGTCAAAGCTACAGAGAAAGAAGAGAAGTTGAAACAAGGATGTAATGTCACCAGGGATCAAACTCGGGACCTTGCGTACCGAAGGCCGCACTAACCAACTGTGCTACCCTTGCTCAATATGTTTGGGAGGAGGAGGTGATCCTGGGTCAAGCAACTATAACGACTGAGAATGCCAATACCTGAATAAGGTGGAAGTTAATGAAGCCTCTAGAAGATCTTCTAAAGCTGCACAGCAAATGCAGACTGAGAAAACCACCAACTTTAAGACACAGCGTTAAGGATCAGCTTAAAAAATCGGCAGAAAGAAGAAGGGAGTCCTTAATAAGGTCAATTGGAGAGGAAAAGCTGGTTGACTGATGACAAGGCGAGGTTGTAGACTTTATTTACTTGGGTGCAGTATTCAGTAATAAGGGAGGAGCAAACAAGGATATGCAGAACTGACTGGTGAAAGCAAAGTCCTCATTTGGCAGGCATCTGAAGTTCCAAATGGTACAGTATGATCAAGATGTACAACACACTAGTAAAATCAGTCTTACTCTACAGTAGCGAGACATGGAAGATCAACATCACTGACAATGAAAAGTTGGACTTGTTCTAACACAAGCGCCTCGAGAGGATTTTGGGGCGTATGTGTTGTCTATTAATGGGCTAAACAAATTATACAGATGTGAAAGGATAAGTATAGCATTGAAGAGGAGATGCTTCAAATGGTTTGGACATGTCCTGTGTATGTGGACAGGACATCACCGTGTCACTGCACTGTCTTGGACTCCTGATAAAAGGCAAAAAGTTTTTTCAGATGCCCTACGATAATGTAGGGCAAAAATGGAGAGAGTGGTTGCAGGATAGGGGTTAAGGGACCAAGCAAGAACTTGTGCCAGGGATGGGGTAGTTTGGGAGGGGGGTGGGGGAAGTGTGGAAAGTGTGGAGGCCTTATGTGCAGCAGAGCGCAAAGAGGCAAGGTCAGGTGATTGTTCGAAATCGCACCATTGTGTAAAATCTGAAATCCTGTATTGCTGACGTCAATCAGCATAGCCTCTAAAATGTGTAAAGGTAAACTAATTATGTGAACTAAGTATGTGTAAGTGGACTGGGAGAATGCGTTTTAACCAGCATAGGATGACTTGGGCCTGCATTAGGTGTACATGAATACACATAAAGTCATATGCATTATTTCTTTCTTCCTTTTTTTTGTGCTATGAGCCTCACATTAAATTTTACAAACAGGACAATGGTGATCTGAAGATCAGCCATAAAATTGTTTCTGGGCCAGTGAATAATTAAGTAGATCACCTACTAATCTGCCAGTGGCCATAAAGACAAAAGGAGATTGTGAGCATTTTTCATAGACTGTATTATGCTTTCATAAGCTGGTATTGATCACCAACTCATTCTCTGTTGTCCTTGCCCCTTGTGCCCTGCACATAATTCATAAGTTATCTTCTGTTACTGAAGGACATTTCTTATAATTGGCCAATCAATTATTTCCCACTTGAGTTATCTTCACTGTTCCCTAATCATTATCTTTGTTTCTAGTCAAAAGCCTGGGGATGCCTGATGGCAAGTGAGAATCATTTAAATGAACTTTTGTGCGTTTCTTTGTGATGATTTGGATCAAGGATCACTTGGATCAAGGTTCATGAAAGGAACCGACAAATCCACTCTGGGCAAAGATTCATCAGTTCCTTTGATGAACCATGATCAGAGTGCTGGTCATCATCACTGATCTTGATCCTGGTTATCCTAAAGGAATACACCCAGAGAGTGTGAATGGTGCAAGTATCTTAAAAATCATCACTCAGAACTAAATTTTACTTGTTATTTCATATTCTAAAAGGCTTAGGATGTCTCCCTTGTTGTTTACATTACCCTGATACCACCTCCCCATTATTGTGACCAGGTTTTTATAGCCCAATGTTGATTGTATTGATTGGGTTCCACTATAATAGACTATAGCAAATTCTTAGATGTAGTGAATGCCCTAATTCTATGCCAGTTTTTGTAACATGGTGTGAAAACCCCGCTTTAAAGCTCTGCCTTTTATTTTTTCCTACAGACTGTCAAATGCCTTTTAATAGTCCCAAATCCTGAGTCAGCTTTAAACGAGGAAGCTGGCAAGCTCTTACTAGAGAAGTATGACGACTACTCAAAACGAGCACAGTTGTTTACTGATATTCACGCAAAGATCAAGTTAAAAGCGGAAAGCTCAGAGAAGGGAGATGGAGTAGAAGTGATGATGCAAGGGATCAAAAGAGCCAGTGACAAAGCCCTGGATAAGAAGAAAAAAGAGAAAAAGAGGGCACTGAAAAGACTTTAACAGATGCTAAAAGCTACTATGGAAATTGCAAACTGAATTTATCTAGATTGTCTACTGTACAGTGTAAATAAATATCAAAGCTGTGTCCTTATAATCAATATGCAAGGAAATTATGCCATATTGGTGTTAAAGTGACTTGGACTGTTGGACATAGCCTGTGCAGTCATTTCCTTTCCAATGCACCTAAAGTGCAAGAAAGTAGAAAAAGTGGGAATTTTACATGGGAGGAAGAGAAGGAAACCTGTGGCAAGCCCAGACATTTTGAAAAACGCCAAGCATTGCGATTGATCACTTACTATATGCATTGTAAATTTATTGTGGTCTATAAAAAGATCTACATAAAATCTGGTTTGTCTGGACAATTTTTAGCAGAAACAACAGGGCAGTTGCAAGTCTTTTTCTCCTTCCTACTGTTTTGTTTTGTTTTTTTTATTATTATTATTATTATTATTATTATTATTATTATTATTATTATTATTATTATTATTATTATTATTATTATTATTATTATTATTATTATTATGGCTGTCACAAAAGGGCAGGGGACAGGTATTTCTCCAGTCACTACAAGCATGAACCCTGGCTACTTTCATAGGAAACAATAAAGGGAAATATATTAATAAATAGATCTTCCTAGCTCTTCAATTCTCTTTCTACGCAACTTGATATCTTAGTGACGGCCTTTGGAAGGGAAATGACTCTACCAACATGGGCTATGACTCTACATGAATCACATTGTTTATTGATGCCGCCTAAAGTGTAACATGGTTACAAAACATTTTTATCTGTATGCAGTGTTTCTTTCCTACTTTGCCAATTAGTATTTGCTACCTAAGCTAATTGCCTTTAGATACCCGCGATTCATAAATTGTTGACAGTCCTCTATTTTTCAGTATTTGTATTTATAGCCTGCGTAGCTGGTTTTTTTTTGGGGGGGGGGTGGATGGGGGGTGTCTGTTTTTTTAATTTTGTGCTTCGTAAAGTAGGAGATACATCCGAGCGAAAGCTGAACCAAGGTCGAAACAGACCATCTTAATGATCGTTTTCGCATTTGACCTCAATCGCGAACCAAAAACGAAAATCACACCAAAAAAATCGCTTGCTACGCAGGCTATTCTCTGCTGGCGGGGAACGCAGGCTATTGTATAATTATTATTTGATGAAAGTGCGTATGGATGCAAGTGTCACAGCAGAGGGCAAGGGGTTGGTTTGCTTAAAGAATACAAGGGCTATAGACTGCCTAGTATTTCAGAGCATAGCACTCCGGGTATCATCTGTTTCTCGATACAACTGAATTCTCTGCATCAGTATCGGGTTAAAATACCGACAACATTAAGTTGAAATTGTGGCTACCTTTTGTTTTCTTATATAACCAGACAGCAACTTTTTCCCAGTGAATTTCGATGCAATATACACCGTATTCACAAATGGCGGACACGCGGGAAAAAACTGGTGCCTAGTCATGAAAGCGAGGCGTTGGAGGATAAACAAAAATTGCAAATGAAGACTTTCAGTGAACTTGCAGAGTGTTTAGCACGGATTCCACCTAAAATAACTTTCTACGGACTTCTTTATAAATACAATTACGTGGGATGTCTTCTGCTTTTAATGTTTAGTAGCGATTTGCTGTTTGCAATCAAAAGGGACGCGTATATCTTCAAGGAAACAGAATGATTTTGTAGGCTTCCGAAGCATCAGAAGCTTGACAAGTGGACGATGGCTGGAGAAAAGCGGCAAACATGTTGACCCAAACTTCACTTTGAAACCGAGTACGAAAGCCAGCTCACTGCAATTCGGTGAAACAGAAATATAAACAAATCTTGGTGGCAAGAAAAAAGGAAATAAGCGACAGATGTATGGCCTACTTGCAACTGTTAACGCAAGAGACGTCTGCCGTTGAACAAAACAGTTCAAGTCGAGATGGAAAAAAGGAAGACAGGAAAGAAGAGGTGACTGAGGTTTCGATGAAGTTATGTTTGGTTTTTGTTTGCCAGGACGTTATTCTCTGGTCTTTATCAATGAAGAACATCAATTAGACAGCGGGGTTGACCTTTTTTTTAAGCGGTTTTTCGGTAATTTATTTTTAATGTGCGGAAGCGATCGAGAGGAGTACGCTCAAAATTTCAACTTGTTACTCGGCAGACTCGGTAAGCCGGCCACATATCATTTCAGCGAGTAATTTCGTATTTCTTACCTTTAGCTGTTAAGAGTTTTAACTTTATGTTTCATAATATTTTAAAGTTGAAGAATACATAAATAAATAAAATGATGGTCTTCTTAAACTGATCCAGACTCGAATTCAATTATTCGAAACAGAAGCTTGCCGTGTTCAGTCCTGACAAAAACATTGCCTTAAAATTTTAACCTAGTAAAATGTAAGCTTTATACCACTTTTTTACCAAGAGCTCTCTGAGATAATGCCCTAAAAGAAACCAGGCAAATAGCAAGCCATAAGATTCACACACTACAGCTTCTAATTTTGATAAAATTATTTTTAATTGTTTCGCAATGACAAAGAAATCATGAGATGTTTGCTAAGCTCTGCCAACGTACCTCTAACAATTTCCTCCAAAGCGACGGAATTAATCTAATCCAATACAGAATTGTAGTGATCCGGCTTTCGTATTCGGTTTCAGTGTGAAGTTTGGGCCAACATGTTTGCCGCTTTTCTCCAGCGATCGCCTACTCTTCGAGCTTCTGATCGATGCTTCGGAAACCTACAAAATCATCCTGTTTCCTGAAGATATACGCGTCCCTTTTGATTGCAAACAGCAAATAGCTACTAAACATTAAAAGCAGAAGACATCCTACGTAATTGTATTTAAAAAGAAGTCCGTAAAAAGTTATTTTAGGTGGAATCCGTGCTAAACACTCTGCAAGTTCACTGAAAGTCTTCATTTGCAATTTTTGTTTATCCTCCAACGCCTCGCTTTCATGACTAGGCACCAGTTTTTTCCCGCGTGTCCGCCATTTGTGAATACGGTGTATTTGAGCAAATCCTCGTGAAGAGGACCTTGAATGGCACACTTGTATTAGAGTAGCCTGTTCCAGGCTCTCAGATAGTGGGGAAGACGCGAAAGGGGCACGGGGCGGAGAAGAGGAAGGGATAGAGTTTCCTCACGTTCATTATTTTCGTGTTGGCGCTTTCTCAATTCAGCGGACCTGACTATCTTGGAGCCTGGAACAGGCTAGTATTAGAGGGGCTGTGTGACGGTAATCGAGATCATTTTGTTAATATTACTGCTATTCCCCGGGGGGTACTGAACAAAATCTTATACTTGGGAGGTTCCGCCCCGAGATCCAACCCCTTATCGTTTTATACACCATTTTTGACAGAGAAGGTCCCCCTTCCGTGTACCTTTTTTTGGTCCATTCACAGACCGCAATGACAGATTTCCTTGTCCTTTCATAAACCTCAACCAGGGTAGCCCCTACCCTTTCATATATCTGAAGTCTGAAAGAGGTACCCGTTGCGGGCGGAGCCCTCCCGTATAGGCCATTATAGGGAGTACTCCTGCGGGCGGCCATTGCGCTTCCTCGTGCGGTACACAACTTAAATAAAGTTAGAATAGGTAATAGCATGATTAGTAGTGGTATTTGGCATAAATACCACAAGTGATATTTCAAAATTGTTATACGTAATTTCACGAGCTTGTAGGCGAGTGAAATTTGAGACAATTTTGAAATATCACTCGTGGTTTTTATGCCAAATATCACGTACAAAGTATGCTATTATTTGTTTATACTACTACCCGAAAAAGGTTTGTAATTTTCACATGTAGACATTTCAACACCACTACTCTAAGCCAATCAAATTGCAGAAATTTCTCATGTACAGTGTAGTGGAATAAACGAAGAAATTACTTGTAAACGACAAAATCGTAGCCTAAGAAGACCTAAGAACAGGCTCTCTGTTTGGGGAAAGGGTGAAAAAATCGCGAGGAGAGAGAAGGGAAAGGGTGAGAGCCTGTAGACAAACATTTGGGACCGTCGTTCCACGGCACCCGCTGTGCATCAGATCCTGATGAAAGCTCCCATTGGCGAGAGCATTGACTGTTGATAGGTTTGATTTACATCGCTTTTTCGGTCGGCACGTAGCACGCGATTTGATTTAAATAATCGCTTGTAAACAGGTCTTCTGATCTTTAACATGGCGTCTTCTGGCGCTTGACAGATGAGCTTTTTTAGCTGCAATGAATGTTCTTGCATCAGAGGGCAAATCACGCCGACCAGAAACAATTACCGCAGAAAATCAATATGCATGTCACGACCTCTCAAATAAGCGGCAAAAATCACATTTTCTCATTTAAAACTAAACCCTCCAGAGCAGAAAAAACTCATTGGAAAAAGCAGGATTTTGGCACGAGGTAAAAGTTGTGTGTTGCCTACCGACCCCTTTTTTACATTCCAATGTATCCAAGTGACAGATAACGATCTTGCTGACAGATGATCATTCCGCGGCAGTTAGAAGACAAGAAGGCGGAATAGCGCCCTCAAATGTTTTTCTACAGGCTCTCACCCTTTTCCTTCCCTCTGCTTGCGATTTTTTCATCCCATCCCAAAACAGAGGGCCTGTTCACAGGCTACAAAATCGCGGCTTCTTGCCCAACAAATATACTTTCTGAGCATTGTATCAAACGTCACAAAGAACAAAAACGAACGGCTTTGAAAAACAGTTGTGCTAACTGTAGTTTGCAAAAACACACAATTTCAGTTCGTTTTAATCTTCAAGAATACAGTTAACACCGGCAAAGTAAGAACCTATGATTTCGAGGTTCAGGTTGATCACGATTTTACTTTAACTTACAGGGAGCTTACTGAGAAATCAGCCTCAAAATGTTCGTAAAATTTATTCCAGAAATATTATACATTATTATTCATTCAAAAAATATAGCTCCGTTCCTGATTGGCTCAAATCTAGCCTGAATGTCAGGCCTTCCTTAGGGGCTAGGGGAGAGGAGATTTTTTCGCTTCCATCTTTCCCCTTTTCCCCAGAAATGCCTGATACTCAGGCTACTCAAATCACGCGGCTAATTCTTCACACCCAACCAGCGTTGACCAAGCTTAAGTGGGTAGCCTGTGAATATACAGCCGTCTAGGCTGTCGGCCAGGATGTTTCGCTGGAAAAAAGAAACCGTCCCTATTCTAGCAGTTAGGGCGAGAAGAGACTCGGCCAGCTGTATTCGCAGACTACAAATTTGGAAGAGGTTTACGATATGCGAATGCGTTGTACGGTCACCCGATCGATTTTTCATAAAATTCGTCCACCGGTTGTGATAATAATATAGCTGCTTTTAAAACGCATCATTTTTTTTCGGTTTCCATATTTTTGGACATTTCCTTTGTTGATCTGAATAGCTATATGTTTAGAAGAATTGTGAATTTTTCACAGTGCTAGGAAGACATACATTTTTGAGCCCACAAATGTGGCAATGTGGGTAAAAAAATTGTAAACTAGCATTTCTTCAATAGGAGTGATTTTTGAAGGACTCAAAATTGTTTGCTTCACATGTGTTAAAGACCAGAGTAATTCTGAGAAGTACTTTGAAATGATATCAACTCGGAAATACAGTCGAACTTCCGGGCGACAACCACCTCCCATAAGCACCAATGCAAAACACAAAAATTTTTAAGGTCAAAGCCGGCCTCACAGTTGGATCCCAGAGGTCCCCGTGACCCGTTCCGCTGGACAAAGCTACGCGGACTCTGGGAAAGAGATTGCTCTCGTAAACGACCAGTTTTGGCGGCTGACGGTTTTTAGACCGTTATTAATTAAAATGATTCTACATTGCTTTTAACCTCTTGTAAGCGTTCACTTGACGTATTGTCTTATTTTTTATATGTTCGCTGAGTAGAATATGCGATGAACTTATAAAGTGGCAACATGAAACTGGGGTACCCATCCAGCCCATCGAGAATATAGTTCAAAACCGGTACTTAAACATAGCATTGTTAAACTTATTTTAGTATTTAAACGGTAGATACAGGCACATTTTTTTCCCCTCAAAATTTTTCATCTGTTCGGATTTCCTGGCCGAAAGTCTAGTGATCCGAAAATTATAGCGATCAAAACTTACCTTTTCGAAAATTTCAGCCAGAAAAAAGGCTCCCGAAAATTTTAGGTGACCTTTTTAGGGTAAAAATCCGTTAAAAATAGGCAATTATAACAGTTTTTAGATGTTCGAAAATCCTAGGAGAGGCAGGCAAGCGATGCAAGAAGTTTTACAAAAAATGTTTCGAAAATTCTAGATCTCAAATCGTTTTCCGAACAGATATTTTCTAAAAATTGATGTTTGGTGCCCCTGATGAAACTGCACGTATCCGAAACGTACCTTGGAAAGTATATACCATGAATTATCATCCTTGAAGTACATGTGTCCGGAAATCTTCTCGGAAGGCTTGGAAGAGACCCCATAGAGTCCGCCGGCTCGTTTGTCTGCGTAGCAGGCTTTCGAAAGGGAAGGGGGAAAGAATTTGGGCACCGGCACACACGGTCTATTTTATCGTAAGTGACTATCTCCCGAAAGCGACTTCTAATTCTTCGCATTTTATTTTGGGTGGAGGTCGCTCACGGGAGGTTCGAATTTTTGTATGCACCATTTTTCTCACTCCTTGTCAATTCAAGAAATTGGCCACCGGGCGCTGAAGTGATTATTCTCTCGTAAAATATTACTTTGAAATATTTGCAAAAACAAACCAAGATAAGTGATATATTCACGCGAAACGTTAGACCCGACGCGGAGCTAGTGGAACCGGTTTTAGGGAGACTCTCTCTCTCACTGTGACCGGTCGTTTCGTCGCTAACGTCCGGTTGGCCAACGTCTTATGTCGTTCCGCTAAGAAGCGAAACGATCGCTACGCCTGTATACAGCTATTTCAAGAAAGGTTGTCGGAAAAAGTGCACGCGACAATCCCGAAAGGTATTGTGGGTGATTTTGAGTTCACTGTTTTTCAAAGAAATTTCAAAGAATGGCAGGAGAGGCCATGGACGTATGTTTGCGAGTGCTAAAGGAAAGAAACAAAAGCAGGTTCGACAGCTACAGTGTCAGGAACAGTGTATTGATCATATCCCATATTACCTTTCGGGATTGTCGCGTGCACAGTTTTTCTGACAACCTTTCTCGAAATAGCTGTATACCTCGTGCTCTCAGCCGTGAAACAAAAAAGTGCGATACATATGTACATACCTCGTTCTTTCAGCCACTGATCAGGCAAAGTCAGTTAGGGAACTGATTTTACACGTAAGCGAAACGACCTGAGACGTTGGCGAACAGGACGTTGGCGAAACGACTCGTAGGCAAGGAGACTGACCAGGCCTCGCTGGCTCCTGGAAAGCCGATTCTGACTGATATCGCTTATCGCGTAGATAATGTAATCCCATTGTTAAATTATTTCCCTAAGCAGCACGGCAAGCCGCACGATGAAACCCTAATCTAGGAATAAACTGCATTTTCAATTAATGCCACTTATAACGTACTTATGTGAGGTCGATTAACTCACTAATCGGCCAAAAATTAAAGTTTGCCAAAACAAACAAAATGGTCCACAAATTATCCTGCGTTGCAGTATATAGGAGCTCCTCGTAACGGGTGTCCTCATGGATACAAATCATTGTTTTTATTATTTCCCATTTTTCACGGTTAGGGTATCGAACCAATTGGCTTTAGGGTTAGGAGAGCTGCTACATGACACCCAGTTGCAGGCGGACTTGTCATTTGAGACGTTTTAGAGAACTCGATATACGTATATCTTGTCTATATCGGGGTTTTAGACTGTCTGTGGCCCAGGCTATCCACAAACACGCGGAAGAAAGTTCCAACAGCGAGAAATTCACAAATGAAGATCGAACTCGTGGTCATTGCTGCTGCGATTGCCCGGGTCCGATTAATTCCCGGTCTGATTGTTATGCGCGGGGTACGTTTTTTGCCAGCAGAGGCTCAAACACTCGCCCAAGCTACAATGGAGGACAAAAATCCTTGGAACGGTTATGGAAAACCTTCCTTCCACATCCTTAACTTATCAAATGTTCAGATACCGCGACTGGCCCACCCCTCCCCCCTCCAAACAATGTTGGGTGAAGAAACACTTTTAGGACAGGGTAAAGTGTACAGGGGTGCACAAACTACAACATTGCTTGGGGGAGAGGGGGAAAGGGGGAAAAATTAAGGCAGATCGTGTTAATTGTCCTAAGAATTTTGTCCTCCATTGTAGGCAGTTTGAATAGGTAGGTAGGCCTAAAAGGCTGTAGCTCACTATCCTGACTTTGGGATTAACAGAAAAAGGGAGAGAAACTTCTCTCTATCCCCTCCCCACTTTGTGCTTTAATCTCCTCCCCCATAGCCCCTAAGTTAGGCCAGCTTTCACCGTGTATACTCGGGCGGAAACGCGCAACAGCACGAAACTGAGGCTATCAGGATGTTTTGTCCAAGATTTCCATATTAGGCAAGTATCCGTCCCATTCCTGCTCGGAAGTTTGCTCGAAACAGTCGGACATATTTGTTTTTACTTCCCACTGTCTTCATGAAGATCTAGGAGTTGACGTTGGGGCAAACCGGATTGGAAGTAGGTTGAAAATGGAGGCAACTGCTAAACATGAATTCAATGCTACTGCAGATGACGAGCTTTCTTTTAAGAAGGGAAGCGTTGTGAAGGTAAAACGGAAGCCAGAAATACCGTGTAATTTGGTTGTCGACGTCCTATCATTCGCCCAATACAAAAGAATTGCGTATGTTCCTTGTGCGTTCCATTGACTATTTTTGCCACTTTTTAATTTAAGGTCATTCGGAAAGGCGAGGATAAAAATTGGTTCACTGCTGAACAAGACGGACGCGAAGGGCTTGTTCCAGCGAACTACATCGAGCTAAAGCCGCACGAGTACGTGAGCAACAATTTAAACTTAATTACTTAACTTAAGCTTATTAGTCTCTATAAGTTTGGTACCTTAAATTTTCCACAAGTTAACTGATTTTTTTTTTGATGGTCACATATTCCCAGGATAGAATCGTAGAAAAACAGAAGGTCAACCCCTTCTTCTTAATCAATAAAGGTGTACCCTTCTTACACCAGATTTATCCTGACGAGTGCAATCGGTAAAATCCAATCGTAGACTCCATAACTATCGATAATTCCTGATTGATTGATATCTTTTATGTTTGTCAATTTTACCTCGTGAAAAAAAATTGAAAAAAGGGGTACCCTTCATCTGGTGATGGCCTCTTTCACAAAATTTATCCTGACGAGTGCAATTGGTAAAATCCGATCTTAAAATCGATAACTATCAATAATTCCTGATTGATTGATAGGCCATCCCCCCCTTTTTTTTTCGTTTAACGTCGAATGCGTTTCTTGATATTGGGTCAGTCGGTCGGATTGAGAAAAAACAAAACTAAAAAAAATCACCAGAAGTCTCAGAATAGGAGGCCCTTGTACCCCAGGACAACGTTAAAAGTTAACATTCACAGATTTGGATGAACAAAATACACAATACACTGTAAAAAATGTTCCTGTTTTTGTTCCTGTTTTTCTCTATGCTGTTACTATGCTCATTTTTCAGATTAAAAGAAATGTTTCAAGTGAAAAACGGTTTAACGACGTCATTACCTTTTTTTGGAAAGTGACAAAAATTTGGGTCAGTCAGAGGACACTAAAGGGAGAAAAAAAATCAATATTTAAAAAAAAACTTTGACACAGATATTGGAGTAATCGATAATAATCTTCCTCTATCGATTTTTATAGATTTTCATTTAATCAATCGATTTTATTGATTGCTATCGATTGTTATTGATTGTTGACTTTGTTGATTGCACTTGTCAGGTTATATGCATGTTGTGTGGATCGATGATTTGTTAAAAGTTTTGTTGGCAGTGTTTGAAAACAACATAAGTTTACCAGGAATGAGATGTTCTTTAGCTTGGGCACTGAGTGATTTGATGTTTTCCCAAATGCAATTCTGGTGTCACCCTTTACAGTGGTGTTTGTAGTATTGGCAATTGGTTGAGATTTCATAAATCATCATCAGAAGTAATCAGAGTGATCATCGGTTATAATTTTTAAGAATTCCTTTTGTTTTCACCTGTGTGCTAGTCAAAGTATTATAAACTTTTTAGTTTTATGATTGTGGACCACTTTTATCAATGCACAATCAAATTTGAACCAAATCAATAGAGAGAATTAAACATCGCTCATGTACCACATTTTACAATCCAACAATAATTTGCAAAATGTATCAGAAAAGGCTCATCAATGGATTTTGGTTGCATTACCAGTTTTGTCATTTTATTTATCAACAAGAAATATTTCTATTAAGTTTTTGCAGTAGTCAGTGAGACCCTCTTATGGGGGTTACTTATGTCCCTAGTCTGCGGAATCTCAAAACCTGTTATTTGGCGTATTGAGGAGGAAGTCATGTCGCTGTGGGTGTGTTATTATTGTATTTGGTCTTTTCTCTGTTGCTGTCACAGTTTCAACTTGACTTTGTGTCGTTTGTCGCCATTTCTGCTGTCCTATGTCACTGCTCCAAGGCCATGTATGTCGCTTGTCAGAATTTTACCCTAACAGGACCTTGTCAATTGATCATTTTCCATAATCAATTATTACTTTGCTTTGGCCTTTCATTCAATCAATGATATCATCATTGATGATTAGCACACTACTACAGTGGGAGATTCCTGCTCATCCCGAGCCCAAGATAATAGGCAAGTCAGGCCTCATAAATAATTATTCTCTTAGCCTTGTAGGCTCTTTTTGGCACTGGTCTCAAGTGTTTTCTCTTCATCTACCATGGTACTAGGTGGTTGGATATGGTAAACCATTCCACTTTGTTTAAACTGAATCACTCTGAGTTAGGAAACTTTTAATGTAATACATCTTTGCCAGAGCAAGGGGTCAACATACCACTAGTGTAACAATATTAATAAGTGAAGTCTTGATTAATCGCTATTGTGACCATTCCACTTGATTAACTATTCTTCACTTCAGCATTTTGATTTTGGCTCGATCATGGTAAAAAGGTTCCTTCAGGAAAAGAGTGTCAAAATTTATTCTGGTCTTTTTCTCTAATCACCTATTATTTTATGAAATAGTCAGATGTTAATTGGTGTTTTAGACCGAGGAACTAAGACCTTTCTTGTTCACATGCCATTTTGTGCATTGTCGGAGACCCAGGGACAGTCAGTCAGGCGGGGAGAACAGTAGGCACAATAAAAGTTTTCAAACACGAGGAGAAGAGCTGGTTACCAACTCTTACCCGACCATTTCCAAATGGTCAAGCGAATGCTACCTCCTGATTGGGCGCAAAAAATGCTTTGTATTATTGTGCCCAATCGGCAAACAGCATCTTGTGAGTTCTTTTCGTGAGTTCATACGTGACAGCTTTTGTCTCGCCATACTTGTCTGGCTCGTGCACCAAAGAAATGCGGGCAGTCAGGAAACTTTCAGTTTGATAAACTTCTCATTTCAAAATTCAGTCTACCTGAAAACAGAAACATGGGAACATATGTAAGGGTATTGGGAACATATGTAAGGGTATTTGTAAAGCCGCTTTACCAAAAATACAAGCTTGAGCTTACAACAGGTATTCAAGTCTGCATTGATCACGCTTTGATAAATATTTGTAAGGTTCAGATACCACAACGGCAACAGCCACAAAAACGTCACTTGAAAAGTGAATTCACATTTTTTCACTTGCTATCGTGATTTAATACTCCAACTTGTTTACTTTGTAAAGGCAAGCGAACTCTTCTGGAGCTGAATTCCTATCAACCATATCCATGGTTAGAAAGAGAAAGAAAATTTTGTCATTGCTTGTTTACTTACCCACAAAATGTGAAATTAGACTTTTTCACGTTGTAGCATGCAGTGACAGCAAAAAAATGTGCAAAAAAAGCATGATGCTCATACCAAGTTGTTGGTTTGCCTTGTCAAGCTTATTGCTTTTTTGATACCTTGTGATTGGTAAGAAACAGAATTTTCTAGGTGCAAATTTGTGAGGAATGCTCCTGCTGATAGCATCCTAAACGTTTTTCTGACTCATTGGTAGTTCCTTCGTTTCTGGTTAGGAGAGTAGAAAGTTTCCCTTGCACGCACAATCTTGATGAACAAACCGGACAAGTATGGCGAGAAAATAGCCGTTGTGTACGAACAGACAAAAAGAACTCAAGAGATGCTGTTTGCTGATTGGGCAAGATAATACAAAGAATGTTTGGTGCCCAATCAAATGCTAGCATTTGCTAGACTGTTGGAAATGGTCTGGTGAGAGTTGGTACCCAGGGGCTCTTCCACCTGTGCTTGTAAGCTTTTGTCGTGCCTACTTTTCTCCTGGCCCGACTGACTGCCCCAGGTTCTCCGAGGATGCATTTTGTGTTGCATGGTTAAAATGTTGCCCTTCTACCACCCTTTGGGAGTTTCTCAAACATTGCTAACCAAGCTATTGTTAATTATGCGACCAGTTTTAGGTCACCGATGTGGTGTGTATGTGTGTGTGTGTTTGTAGTCTGAATGTAACATTCTCCAACCCTCCAAGTTGCAACCATTTTAGTCGCCATGGCACCTAAAATTTTGGAACTGGCGACTTGATTTGGAGAATAGTCGCCAAGCTGGCGACCGTGAAGAATAGGTTCGTGTTGTGGCGTATAGAAACAGAAATGGTAATCACTTCTACTGAAATATGAAGAACATTTATTCTAGTTGATTTGAATTCCATTATTTTTTTACTTTTCCGTTGAAAAACATGCTAAATTGAAAACTTAAAAAAGTCTCAGAGCTAAGCGTTTTGAAAATGAACATCAATGAAACTTGACTTGCATTCATTCGCCTAATAGCCTTCAGTCTGTTGCCTTGCACGTGACATTTTAACTTTTGACACGTGACAGATGGCACGCAATCGAAGCACCTTGCTTGTGGACAGTGACGATTTCTTCGATATCTTAGGAATGCTTGTTTAGCCAAGTTTGGTGGTTTTTTAACTGGACTACATATTATAAATATTTTTGAATCAATACTGAAACAATCTAATAACATGAAGAGGGAAAGCTAAATTGGTGCAAATTCAACACAGAACATTATGTGATAACCGTAACATGTGAACCGTGCTGCGAGTTGAATCGCGGTTTTGTAAACAAAAGCGATAATTGTAAGCGAAACTAAACATCGCAAAACTGACAGCTTATGGTTGTTGCAAAAAATGTTTTTTTAGCGATGATAAAGGAAAGAGAAAATTTATTATTTCGTAGGCGGCATTTTTGTTTGGGTTCCTTTCAATTGATTGGGAAAAAAAATTTTTCGCAGTAGAACTCGTTGCGAAATTTTCATGTGTGCGATGTTATCTCTGTAAAGCAATGATTTCATTTAGAAAACTTGTCAATCTTCCTATACTCTCCTGCCTTTGTCAGGCTTTTGCAATGTCTAGCGATATTAAAAACGACCTTTTAAATCTCCAAAAATATTTGTTAGTTGGGGAAACAAGTTCATCATCAACAAAAGTCGCAAAAGAAATGCGAAAAAAATATCAGAAAAAAAATAGGTCGCCTATCAAGTTGCGACTGGGAAATTTTGAAAACATTAACAGAGGATGAGTTGAGTTCTGCTCTCATATACCAACTGGGGATTATATAGAAGGATTGAAGGCCCTAAAGACAAATGGAAATGGTAATTGTCTTTACAATTCCGTTTCAGTATTGATTCAAGGAGATGAATCTGCAACACTTATTCTCAGACTATCAGTAACTAATGCCTTGCACAATAAACGAGTAATTTATATGACAGTGCTGCATTTTATGTTAAACTGCTAACTGCTTTTGTTAATGACAATTTTGATATATTAAGTCATTAATATAATTTGGCGCCTAAAAATTTCCCCTGGCGACTAAACCCAAAGAGCTGATCGCCAAATGGCCACTGAACAAAAATTTTAACTTTGAGGGTTGTTCTCCTTAGTCTGAATACATGTGTAGTTATTCATGTCATACCCAGCCTTACCCAACAATATTATTTTGCTTTTCGTTATTATTAAATTTCAGGTGGTTTCAAGGCAGTGTGACCAGGCAACAGGCAGAAGAAAAGCTTATGAAGCAGTCACACGATGGGGCATTCCTTGTTAGGGAGAGTGAGAGTACACCAGGTACAGCTTAACATTTGAGCGAGACTGGGTCAGTTTTGTGTCAAGTTGTACTGTAGGATTGTTTTGGGCAATGCTTCAGGTAGCATAAGAAAACATCTGATATTGAAATGGCATCTACAGAACAAGTACAGGAATTCCAGGACAGAGTGTCAGAGTGCAAATCAACTCAAAATCAACCCCATCTCACATGTAACCTCAATATGACCAGCAAAAATATTATACCATGCACAGAATATGATTGCCATTCTTGTTTCTTTGAATCATGAAATCGCACCTATTGAAACATGTCAACAGTAAATGCAAATTTTTCTGTCAATCAAATGTGTCCTATTATTTGTAGGTGGAAATTGGTGAATCGTCTTGATTGTTTTGGAGACAACAGAAGAACATCTTGTTCTTTCTAAATTTGTCAACTAATCCCATAATTGCACATATTTGAGTTTTTTGTGTGATGTCATGTTTCTTTACTGTACTGAGCCTTGATGAAACAGCTGCTGTACACTCTTAAGGAAATCTTTAGTCTAGAACGCTAGCAGGTTAGTAATTTAGTAGAAAACAGAGCTGCTCTTTACCTTCATAAAAACAATACCAGAATTTTTTTATCGTTTAATTAGTTTTACTGTAAACATTTGGTAGGTGACACTTTTTTGCATAATGCACAGATCTGGAAAGTTAACATTAGTCAATGTTAAGTAGCATCATTAACTGTATACTAGTGTAAGTAGTGATTAGCTAATGCTTAAAATGCATAGTAATTTAGTTTTTTTGTTTTTTTTTGTAGGAGATTTTTCATTATCTGTGAGGTAAGATTTTGTCATTTTCGTTATTGGTTAAAGAGAGGGCAAGAGTGTTAGTTTTAGAATAAATTATTGAATAATTTGGTGGATTCAAGATAAGGACTAAACAATTTATTGGAATATCTCAAGTCTCAAAGATAGTTTTGAAACAATGTTTTGCATCACTGTTCACATTTCCCTCTCCTTCCTACAAGGCAAGTGTTACAGAGTTAATTTGCTCAAGTCAATAAAGCCCCCATCTTTCTGCACCATGTTGGATTATTATTCCAAAGTTTGTGTTGCCAAGAGTTTCTTCTTCTGCACTTCTGCATGCTACCTTATGTTTGCTTTATTTTGTAACTTACCCACCCTTTTTCTCATGTTAATAGAACACTGTTGCTAGTGGCGATTGGGATCAATAGTGGACAGGCATTAAAATTTACAAACACTCATAGTTAGTCCCCTCTACTAACTCTGAAACCCTTTATAGAAAAAGAAATCAGTGAAAACAAGGAACTGCATTGAAAGTCAACGAAACGTGAAAAATCACAGAAGTCAGCATAAAAAAAATGCAAATTGACAAATCCCACTCTATTTTTCAGAAGATCTTGTAGATGGTCAAAATATTAATTTGTACCTTTGTGCTTCGAAGCCAACACAGCAGCTATGGAAACCCTGAAACACTTTTCCTTGCTATAAAAAAGCAAATTTTCACAAAAGGAAAAACTGCTCTGCCCACTAAAATAGAAAAACGCAGATATCAAGCTCAAAAACTGAAAACCAAACCCAGATAGGGCTAATCAGGCGGCAAGTGGCAGCCATTGCTTCCTCTTAGTAGAATGCAAAGCAGTCTCCCAGCTTTTGTCAGAGCTCTTTGCACCATTTCTAGAAGAAATGTGTGATTTTGTGGGTGATAGTTTTGCCACCTCTCTCATTTTTTGCTTGGGGATGGGTCATATTTTGTGTACAAAACAATTCACTGAAGGTGATCTAATTTCATTTCATTTTCATTTTTTGTCGGTCATTCCAATTTTTTATTTTTATTCTCTCACTTGCCACAAATAGCTAAAGCTAGTCTACTTGATGTAAGTGGACAGTGTCTATACAAAAAATATGCACTCCAAAAATTTTATATTAAATTTACAAGTTAGTAAACGAAAGTTATTTCTGTAAGTGTATGAACATAAAAGAATAAATTAAGTCAGGCTATCTGGAGTACAAAATATAAATCAGACTTTCTTCAGGCAGACCAATATCTCCGGTAACCAGATTAATAAAGTACTAGTTGCTATTATGGTCAGGTTGACAGCTCATTTGTTGGTACTAAAGTTGTTGTTTTCTGAGTTGCAGGTTTGGTGGTAATGTACAACACTTTAAAGTTCTGCGAGATGGAGCTGGAAAGTATTTCTTGTGGGTTGTAAAATTTAATTCATTGAATCAGCTGGTGGATTATCATCGCACCTCCTCTGTCAGTAGATCACAAACAATTTATTTAAAAGACATGGTAGAGGAAAGAGAGGTGGGTACCTTAACTTTAACTTTTTCGTAATCTTTTTATCAGAGGGCCAGTCGCCTTTTGCACTGTGTGTAACATACCTTATTATAGGAAATTAATGGGAATTTCCAAAATTTGCATTAATTTAGGTTGAATTGATGTTAACTTTAATTTCAGTGCCTTTAATTAAGTGTAGTGTTAATTTCCATGACCTTAGTTTCTATTATTTGGACTCCAATTTCTCAATACCTTCTGACATTCTTGACACCTAAGAAAGAGGACTGTTTTTATCAGGTTGGAGTTCTGCCACTAACAGAGAAAATGTGTAGAACTTGAAGTGGCCTGATTTCTTCCCTTAAACCCTTTGGTTAGAAGAAAGTATCCATTTCGGATTTCAAGTTTAACTTTAATCCTATTGTCTCAAAAAGTTTTATTTCTTTGTAAATGTTGCATTTATTTTCTTTATTTTGAAAGTCACCAACACCAACTTTGGTGTCAAAGTCTCTTAATAACAGCAATAAATTACTGCCTGAGAAGACCACTGACATTATTAAGTGATGCCACGGTTGTGGGTTTCCTTGTGAAAAGACGTGTGAGGAGCAAGTGCTGAAATTTCATACCTTGATGACGTGTCACTACCCTGATCTGGGTAATTTCACTTCATCAGTATGGAATTTCTGTCGGGTCGTTCCTCAGACGTCGTTTTGCAGGGAAACCTGCAACAGAGGCATCGCTTACTGTTGGCAGTTTTCTCCGGCTACATTATTATTGCAGCTGCCACAATGATGCATCCTTTAAACTGCATCTGCGCCTACTATTGTGGTCTCAGGTTTACTACCAATCAGAGCATAGTTAATAGAGGGAATGGTTATGAAACCCGACAAAGTTCTTATGTATGTTTTTGTTCTCTTTTTTGGCCTTGACCCTGCACAAAACACAATAGTTGTTTACTCCGTACTGAGGAACTAACCAATAGAAACGTGCTGGTTACGTAATTCATGCATAACGTATGAACGCAAAACAAAAGATTGTGCAGGGTCGTGGACCTTCTAACATAAATCTTGGCATCTTTGTTTGCTCCTTTGATGTTTGCCGGGCTTCATAACCAGTCACCTCCATTAACTATGATCAGAGTCACAAATGCTTTGAAGTTACAATGTATCTAGAAACAAATTGAGCCATTCAACAAATTTTCACAGTTTGTGGGTAAAAACTGCTCAGCTGCACCTGATATTTCACAAAGTAGATTTTTTTGTTTGTAAAATGATAGTTCCAGTTGGCTTTATTCATTAGTACTAAAATGGTCTAAAGCAGTTTCTCCAATTAATGACCAGTTGCAGGAAGTCTATGTCGCAGCTTATGAATTTACACCTGAAGAGGAAGGAGAGCTATACTTTAAACGTGGAGATAAAATACAAGTATTGGATAAAGAAGATGTAAACTGGTGGAAGGGCAGAAATCTTACATCTAACCAAGAAGGCTTGTTTCCTTCCACCTATGTGCAGAAGAAACCATTGTAGGGATCCAAAATCATTATGGAAAAAATACACTTTGCTCAGTATTTGTCATAAGAAAGCAAAGAAAAAGAATAAATAGTGTAAGAAGAAAGTATTAATCTTGTTTATCAATACCATAACCTGCCACTTATTATCCCTGGGCTGATACATTTTTGTAAGCAGGTTTAGGAGGGCCTTTAAATGGGGGAGACGGGGGAGGGGGGCTTATATCTAAGTGGGCTCATAGCAGGAAGAGAAAAAGCACTTGAAAACATGCTACAGCAGTACTGATCAAAATATATTTTGCACGTATTTGCTTTTAATAGACCTTTCCACAGTTAAATTTCTGACATGAGCAAGTTAGGGAAAATTTGTCTACTCCACTGGAATGAGCAACTTTAAATTAGCAAAATTGCGAACTATAAAGGTGATTCGTTGAAAACTAATGAAGGTACCGCTCCTCAATGCCGCAACATTTTAGAGACGTTTGTATGGTAGTGGCGGGGGGGGGGGGGGGGGGCTCTTTCTTTTGCCTAAAAAACCCAAAAAATTTTTCCAATTTTGCTGTGCCTTTTTTTTGCAGGTTTAAGCGTATTTGCCCAATTTGCTTCTTTAAAGGCCCTTTTCCCAGAGAGGGGGAGAGCTTTTCCCAAACTTAAATATACACTGGAAAGGTTTTTTAACTTTCAAAAAATTTTTATAAAACAAATTAATTCCAAACCATTTGAGGGGGGCCTCTAAATGATAGGTGAGTGAAAAACAAAATAATAGTCACAAATCGCAAGAAACAATAATGAAAAAAAATAAAGAAATAATGTGAGGGTCAGGCAAAGATCATCATAGTGGAGCACAAGTGGGGGCGGGTGGGGGTGGGGGGGGGGGGGGGGGGGGGGGGGGGGGGGGGGGGGGGGGGGGGGGGGGGGGGGGAGGGGACTTGTCTTCTGCCATAAAACGCCTACAAATTTTCGCAATTTTGCTGAGCTATATCTTTGCTAGTTTAAGTGTAGTTGCCAAATGTACTTATTTAAAGGCGCTTTTACCAGTGAAGGAGACAGATTTTCCCTAACTTAAATAAACCATGGAAGGGTTTATTAACCTTAAAAACATCATTATAAATCAAATTCATTTCAATACATTTGGAGGGGGGCTTATATCCTAGGAGCTTGTAAGTGGCAGTTTATGGTAATTGTTTTGCTAAATATTATTAATCCTGGTCACATGAGACCATTAGGAACTCATACTGGAGGACTCAGATGTTCATGTGCATTGTCAGAGACCAAAGTTTATGGGATGGTGTACATGACAAATCACTGAAAGCATTGTTTGTTCGCTACCCACTTTTAACCCTCTGAGATCAAAATTCTAAATGATCAAATCATTTTTTTGTTCAGGACGGTGATCACAGTCCAGTCAATTTTCCCATAACATGTTTGGTATTAGGGTTGGGTACTTAGATTCTCACGTGTTCTTGTTGTAAACATTGCAGTGATTCACCTTTCAGTGTTCTGTACTGATCAGTTGCCCTTGCATTTCTGGGGATAGTTCATCTGAGACTATTATTTGAAAGGTCAGAACTGATTACTTGAGATAAGTATGAACTCATAAGATCTTCAAGTTCATTAGTCTCCAGGACAATAGTATTCTTTTAAATTTACTTCCTTTCACATTAAACTGTTGTGAAAAATGATCAATCTCAAACGTGTTTGGCACATTTCAGTAGCATTCATGCATGTGACTTGTATGAGTTGATTTTTCAGATGACTGTCTTTGTGTTAACAGAACATCAATCTGAAATTACTTTTCTGAGTTCGTACTGGCCTTATGTCTTTAGGGCCTTAGAATTACTGCAAAGTTCTTACTGTAAGTAAGCATGTTAGGCCTATTAATTGCCTCTAGTGAAAATTGTATTCTGTAATTAATGTTATGCTGTAAAGTTTTAAAAGTAGTAATCCCCCATACATATTACCTTTTGATTTTATGTATTTACTTATATATTTTTATATTTAGCGTAATTAGATAATTAGATTTTGATTTCTGCTTAGACTTGACTTTCCCCATGGTGTTTATTGGACTGTACACAGGACAAGCCTTTTTTTAAAGCAAAAATTTGATTCAAGAGTATAACTGCATGTCAATCCTATTACAGTATACCCACTAATAAGAAACTACATTTTTTGAGGTCTGGCAAAAAAGGTTCTTTTACTTTGGGGTAGTTATTGGCAATTTAGGTTAAGTAGGTATATTATATTATGTTCTTAAATATTGTCGTTGGCTGCCAGAAAAATAAAGAAACTTGAGTTTACTCCTTGAATATTCGGAATTTATTCTCAACAGTTCATTGCAAACCTCCTTTAAAAGACAATTGCCATCTGTACTCTTCGTAAATCTTTTCGCGTTGTAGGAATTACAATAACACTTGTATCTGTAATTCCAGTTTGGTTCCTATCAATTGGCAAACTTGAAGTCAAACTCCTTGGTTAAAATTTTTATCTTAGTTAATTTACCTGTAACCCACATATTATCACCTGCTTGATAAGAGGTTCTTGTTATTTTCGGGTATTAACGTGCCAAATTTCTGCCAGATGTTATTTAATCCACAGGTTCTTATTAGCTGGTGTTTACTGTATCACTGTTAGCATGCATAATCTTCACTCTCTTCTCCACATATTTCTTATTGTACTGATGAGGAATATCTTTTGAACAAAAATTTTCTTGCGGAATTTTTAAATTGGTGTGATACCTGATGCAATGCGGTAGAACAAGAAAATTTGTAAAAAAAAAAACTGAAAGGACGGGTTAAAAAAACGTGTTTTTCATAAGGGCGAGAATGTCTTTTCCTTAATTCTTTCACTTGACAGAACCGATCCAATCAGCTTTAGACCGAAGTTATTACTTAGTCATGTCCCCTTTGTTCGCGAGAGATTTTTGGCTTACACCCTAGTAAGATTGATAGGTAATTAAAATGCTATAGCTTTTAGTGTAATTAATCATTTTTTTACCTTCCATAGACCTTATTAGCCATAAATACAAATATAAATAAAGAACGTGATATTTTACACTTGTAATTTTTTTATTGTTTATGGAAGATAACATTCCATAAATGCTTTCCCTACTTTTACGATCGGTCCGTTATATGACAGGTCCTTTTAGGTTTAGTTTAGCTCTATTTAAGGTAGACACCCCTGTAGTTATAACGTGGACCCCACCCTTCAACCGATGTCGTCATACGCCTTCGGTCTATTGGACGCCCAATATGATTGTTTTCGTGTTTTGTTCTTTTCAAAAGCCATAGTCTCAGTCCAAATTGTTGGGACACTTTGCTCTCTTCTCGCCCTCCCAATGTTGGTGAGTTTTAAAACTGCGATAACCAACTTTGGGAGGACGAGGAGACGGGCCAGAAGCGAAAAAAAACAGCGCTGGGTGCAAGTATCCCAACTATTTTTGTCTTAGACTGCACGTCTATCTAATGTATTAGGAAATGACAGTTGTAAAATGGGTTTTGCCCTGCTGACAAAAGTGCACTTGCTTTTTTATTAAACAAACAAACAAAAAATGAGAACGAAAAAAAAAAAACACACCTTTGGGGGTCACACGTCTCCACCCCCTAGCCCATGGTCGTCCGTATGCACCATTGTTGAGATATAATTGGCCAATTATGACTCATACTTTCACCTAATGAGAACTCGACTTCCGTAAATGATCTCATAGACACGCCCAGGGCCTTTAGTTATATTAGGGGATCTAAGAGGAGGTTCTTAATTGGGGGGCTACTCGTAGTCTATGCTTAATAGATGGGAGGTGTTTACCCTCAGCTGAAACAAGCTCAACAAAACCGATATACTTTCGGAGAAAATATGAATTTAGTTTAACAATAGCAGAATGTTCGCGGGGAAAAGCCTCTCGGATCAGAGGAGGGAATCATCAACAAACTCAATTCACATATGGCGTTGACACCGAGATTTGAACCAGGGCCACATTGTTGGGAGGCGAGTGCTCTCACTGCCTTGCCACCTTTGTTCCCCAATTGATTACTTGCTTTAGCTTTGCTCATGTATGCTTTTGATGGGTTGGAAACAATGGCGCCACTTACTCGTCTGGTAAGCAAAAATGATTTAAACCGATAATGACTTGCCCTCTCAACGTTACTATCAGGGGCGTAGCTAGGGGGGGGGGGTGCCCTTGACCCCCCCTTGGTAGGCCTTCTTTTGAGCAAACAACCTACAATATTCAGGTGGCGAAAACGCCATAACAATATCTTGGCCGTAAAAGCCATTGTTGAAAAGCCCATTTTTTTAAAATTTGTTTTTTTGTAAAGTATTTTCGTCAACGGCTCTTGTCTTTAGTTAATATGGGCCTTCATGCCGCGATAATACGACTGAGCCCGCTGATTCACGAGGGAGAGCAGCGGTATAAACCATATATATATATATAGTCGGCGATCCCCGGATGGTGTCCCTGTCTGTGACCCCCCCCCCCCCCTTTAAAAAATTCTTGCCCCCCCCCCCACCCTTTTTTTTTTTTTTGGAAGC